AGAACATCCTGACATGTTGAAGTGATTGCCTACTTGAACCCTTTCCAGTTGCTCTCCATAGTAGTTCCCTCTCCATTGAGTGGCTCCTCAAAGCCTGGAACCTGTTGCTGAGGGCTATGTTGAATTTGTTGAGTTTGTTATTATCCCGAAAAAAAGACGTAATAAACGTTTTTGATGTTGTCCGCCCCGTTGTCCAGTGCTTGTAAACTAGAAAGCACATTTGTTGAGCATAGAAATTTACCTGTTCATGTTTTAATTTAAAACCTGACAGAATAAATTAATACTTTTCCACATTGCAGCCTTTTTAGTTTTATTTACAGATGAAGAATAAATACACAATAACATATACTTTTCATGACACTTTCAATTAGACGTACTCTATTTACAACGTGATGTAAGTTCGTTACTGCAGAAACTATCCCCAATTGATCGTTCGAGACAACTCTAAGCAGAAATCCATTATTAGTTGAAAGCTTGAATAATGACAGAAATGAAGGGAGTAGTGTTGAAGTTGCACGGAGAATGAAGATGATAGAAATTGATAAGGCCATTACATACGTATTAAAGGTCATAATTTGAAAGTGAAATAAATTTTTGCTGTCGATTTTGAATGTTCCAATAAGGTCGACTATATTCACGAGAAGAGTAGTCAAACTGACTTAATCCGTAGCAGCGAACAAAAATCAATCCAGATCGTTATCTTCATCTAACTGATACTCTAAAAATCCAATAAGGGCTGTAATATGATTTTCCTGTTCATCATTATCTCCTAAATCTCATTAATGTGGATATATAGATTATTCTGAAAGATTGGCCTGTAAGAACACTTTTTGTCATACATTGAAGAAACACTGTGGATTCAGTTGTGTCACCAAACCCTTCAGGGCACAATTTTATAAAATTTATCAATTGATATCCGTCAATTAGGATTGTCAGATTATGGAACTAGTGTCAGGTGAATTATTGATCTTCAAAATGAAAGAAAAGGTGATCATAAAAGGAATTATTATGTTTTATATTACTTATCAGAAAATAGTAATCAATGGATTTCATTTTAAAACTATTCACCTCGTTGGACGTAACCGGATGAAAGATTTTTAAGGTGAGATTAAAAAAAATACAAAAATCACCGTGGTGTAAGCGCTATTCCAGATCACAGGGATTAACGTATGTAATTTAGCCTTCTGTCCTTACCGGGAAGGATTGAAAATTTTAATAGGAAATTTTAATTAATCTCATCTCGAGATTTCACTACTGAATACTTTTAATTCACTTGACCTTAGACGTTTTGAAATATGTTCTTTGAATTGAACGTAGGCCCTTCATTTTGTTCTACCGTATGAATTTGTATGCATAGTTGATGGTGACGTTAAAGGGATACCAATCAATCCTTAATTGTGTTAAAGAACATTTTGTTTTGAACAAGACAATCAGTTTAGCTTCAGGATAAGTTTTCAATTCAGTTCTTGGTATTTTGTTGACTGACCCTGTAACATTCGTCACCTTTGAATTTAAGTTGAATAAAAATGACCTTTTGTTTACTGAAGTTTCTTTTATTTATCTTTACGTTTTCCATATTTCTCAATAAATTTCGGTGGATATCCGTTGTTCTTTAAACATCTTTTCACATTCATTTGTTCTTCTCCTAGTGCATTTTCAGTACATTTTCTTTCTATTCTGTGAAATAGTGTTTTAACCAGTGCCTTTTTGTAACTGTGTGAACAAAAGCTATTGAAATTGAGAGAAATTTTATTCTATGTGTCTTTTCTATTAGCTGAACGTTGAACTGTGCCATTTTTTTATCGTTTTATTTTAATATCGAGAAAATGAAACTTGTTTCCATTTGCATGTTCCATAGTAAACTGGATATTTGTATGAACTTCGTTGAAAAGTTCGTGAAGATGTGTTGAATGTTATTGATTATTACATACGAGGAAGGTGTCGTCAACGTACCTCAAATACTACACTAATCCATTAATCATCCCTTTGAGTTCAGTTCTTTCAAAATAAGCCATAAAAATGTCTACTGAAACAGGATTTAACGGAATTCCCATTGTTACAACATCACTTTGTCGGTATATTACATTACTGAACTAAAGCTGAACATTTTTTGTGAACATGATTAACAGTCGTTTGAGTTCTGATCCAGTAGAGATAGGATGCCGGAAAACTGGCCACTTATGCCCATGGTTTCAGAATTTTCAATAAAGATCAACATACTTATAGAGGTGTGACTGATTAGTATTTATTTTTGGAATATACCAGCATGATTCAATAAACAACCAAATACGGTCAAAATAGTCATTTAATTAGCTTCTAGTAAACTTGTAAAATAAAGGCTTACATGAAAACGTGTCGAAAATATATTAAGAAAATGGTAACGCATAAACGTTACCAAGTTTGCCTACAGCATAAAAGTTAAATAAAACGTATTAACATTGATTTGAATAGAATCATAACAACTAAAAGGTTTGTAATGTAAGGAATCTCACTTTCTCTTTTTATTACACTCATGGAAAACGGCAATACTGATACAAATGAGACATTAAAATGTAAAATGAAAACAAAACCGATATTCTTGTGCATAGTATTCGTTTATTTGCTCTAAAAACCTCACAGTTCAGCTAAAATGAATTGATTTCATTTGTCTTTTTGAAAACGTTATTATTTTAGCTCAGAGTTCTTTGGTCAAATGTGAAGACCACACAAACAATATTTCATTTGGGAATTCTTCATCAATTAACTCAAACTTCATCGTTTCTTCATCGGCATAACTATTACTCTCTGTTCCCATTCTCTTCGATTCGATTTTCACAACCTTCTGCTACCAGGTATTCCACTTCTGACTGGTTTTATATACTACATATGTCGACATAAGTAGCGTACAACACATTATTACACTATAAGACTGCTTGAATAATAGCTTCAGTTGAGTCCATATTGGGGCGTCTCAGTTAAAGGAGTGGAGTTTGTAAGCCAGCTCATATACGAATTGACACTCCTATTAGGTGATGTAGTCGAATGTTCAATATATTCACTGAATGGTTTGTGGCGAGCGAAGGTCTGGAAATCTCAACTTTCCCGGCTTCCTACAAGTAGGATCGAACACAACTGATTACGATAAATTATCGCCAAAGTATTCTATAACTTGACACATTATTTTGCAAACGTCTCTAGGTAAACACTGGTAGTTGTCATTACTTATATGAGGATTATTGGTTCTGAGGTGTTTACCTTAATGCTAATAGAAGTTAGCGAATCCTAATATACAACCACCGTTATTCACATAATAATTTTATTTATTTTGTTAAAAGCAGCGTTAGACAAGTATCTAGGTTAATAGTGTTTGCATTACCACGAAATTGGTCTTTCAATAGGTGAATATGGAATATTCACTTTACAATAAAACTCTGATGACAGTTTATTAGTCCGTTGAAAGTGCTAGGCGAATTCATATTGGTAAGTTCCTGGTAATACCAAAAAGGCCACTACACATTTTCAAAAGGATAAACATTTTGAGTGTCGGTAAAAATGTTCAAAGAAATTTAGTGAACCAACTTCCGTTTGGAGTGTTTGATTCTCTGAATAAAACTCACTGTATAAAGTTTATGGAATATTGATTCCGATGTTGGAGACCAATCTCTACATTAGGACCCGGTATCAGACCACCAAGTGTTTAAATTTGTTCTTTGTTGTTTTAATAATTCAACAGTTAGTCGGTATGTATTCTAAAATGCGTATTGTCCTGGTGTCGGAACATACATGATTTCTGGGTGCACATAGTAAATTCGTCGTTTACTTGTTGAGCTTAGATTACTAAAATAACACTGGTTAAAAGTATGGGTCAACCATAAACTTGCAGGCATGTTTAAGTTCCTCGACACTAACGAGATCAGTTTCAATATTCAGTACTAATTAAACTATTAGTTTGCCATTTACTAAAATTAGTTGAAGGTTTCTTTAGTTAAACAAACCATTCGTTTAATCATTTCAACTGTTTCCTATCTATAACGGTAAATTGTTTAGAGTGATTCAGTTTATAATAACAAATAAATACTATAAATTAATTAGATATAAACTAATCAACTAAGATATTGATGACATTAAAAGCATCAAATCACTATACATCAATAGAGCTATATTAAGAAATTTGAGTTGAAAATTCATGAATAGAAAGCTAATTATAAACTGCAAATATACTTCAGTTGAGTTTATGTAAAAACGTAATTTAACAGATAAATCATCATCAAAATAAGAATAAACAGAATCGCGACGAATGAAATCATCATCAGGGAAATCAGGAATTCTTATATCTCTCCAAAGTGCTCTGGTTAGGCCGAGGGTGGGGGGAGTCAGCTCACTCTTTCGAAATGCTCTCATATAGCCATGTACGTACAACCACTGTCAGGGAAGTCCTACTCACTGATTTCTTGAGGAATTGCTGTTGTTTGCGAAATTGAGAAGACAAAAAGCGAATCTTCGGTGCTTTAGCCGAATTGGTGGACACGTAAAGTCCACCAAGGGAAGTTGTAGAACCCTGATACCAAACCAATGCTGCACATGCGCTCCAGTATTCTGAAGGAACAAATGGCGTATGAACCTATTGTTGACCACCAGTTACCATAGGACTGCATCTCCTGATGTTGTTCCACTGCCTTGCGGATTAGATCTGTAGGTTAAAGGCTCGTGGTGTGGTCCCCTAAGAAAACCACCTGGTTCGGTTTAAGCACCCATGCAATATCCAAGTCCTACCACAAATCGAATGAAATTTTTGTCACACATTCATTTGGTGCTTCCATGTACCAATGTTTATTTAAATTGCAGATGACACTTGTAAAATTTCAAGTAAAGCACTGAAAACAAAACACTTTGTAAAGAATGTTAGATGTTCAACAATGATTAGAAAGTCAAGGTGTAGATTGACAAAATAATATAAATTCACATTGAACATTAAAAAGGAATAACAAAATAATTATAAGGCAAAAATAGGAACAAGGATATTACTGATGAAAATACTTATCACATAGCTGCTTCATAAAACAATTAACATGACAATTTTCGTTATTAGTTGAATAAAATTGTCGGCAACATTTAAAAATTCGAAATAGTAATACTTTGTTATACTGATAGGAAGGCATAAAATTCTCCAAAGAATGACAGTCAGTATCATGAGCATTATTACACTTAGTGGTAGAAATATCGGACAAATCAACATCAACAGGTAAATTACCAGAAGAATCAAAATCAAAATGAACATAATCAGAATCCGGAGGAGAAAAATCATCATAAGAAAATTCATCAAAATCATTACCAGAAGACGGTAATACAGAAGTGGTAATGGAAGTATAAGAGGAGTCATTAAAACTATCAAGTAAATGATTAAAAGAAGATGAATTCGAAAATTCAGAGTTTGACGTATAGGAAGAAGAAGAAAAGCCGTGGGAGATGGAGGGATTTACGTCCACAGGAACAGAGGTGACAAATACAACTGGTTGTAATGTTGATGATGGTTTGAGGTATTGTGTTGTCGTGAGTGGTGTTTGAGTGTTGGTCGATGTGGATTTCGTGGTGGACTGATTGTAGTGTGTTGGGACTGCAGTGACAACTGGAACTGTTTGTAATGTTGATGATGGTTTGAGGTATTGTGTTGTCGTGAGTGGTGTTTGAGTGTTGGTCGATGTGGATTTCGTGGTGGACTGATTGTAGTGTGTTGGGACTGCAGTGACAACTGGAACTGGTTGTAGTGTTGATGATGGTTTGAGGTATTGTGTTGTCGTGAGTGGTGTTTGAGTGTTGGTCGATGTGGATTTCGTGGTGGACTGATTGTAGTGTGTTGGGACTGCAGTGACAACTGGAACTGGTTGTAATGTTGATGATGGTTTGAGGTATTGTGTTGTCGTGAGTGGTGTTTGAGTGTTGGTCGATGTGGATTTCGTGGTGGACTGATTGTAGTGTGTTGGGACTGCAGTGACAACTGGAACTGGTTGTAGTGTTGATGATGGTTTGAGGTATTGTGTTGTCGTGAGTGGTGTTTGAGTGTTGGTCGATGTGGATTTCGTGGTGGACTGATTGTAGTGTGTTGGGACTGCAGTGACAACTGGAACTGGTTGTAATGTTGATGATGGTTTGAGGTATTGTGTTGTCGTGAGTGGTGTTTGAGTGTTGGTCGATGTGGATTTCGTGGTGGACTGATTGTAGTGTGTTGGGACTGCAGTGACAACTGGAACTGGTTGTAATGTTGATGATGGTTTGAGGTATTGTGTTGTCGTGAGTGGTGTTTGAGTGTTGGTCGATGTGGATTTCGTGGTGGACTGATTGAAGTGTGTTGGGACTGCAGTGACAACTGGAACCGGTTGTAATGTTGATGATGGTTTGAGGTATTGTGTTGTCGTGAGTGATGTTGCAGTGGTTTTCAATAATCCATTGATGATCAATTCAAGATCGTCAGGTTTGTATGTGATAGAAGTTTGAACGGGTTTTAATGTTGATGATGCTTTGAGGTATTGTGTTGTCGTGAGTGGTGTTTGAGTGTTGGTCGATGTGGATTTCGTGGTGGACTGATTGTAGTGTGTTGGGACTGCAGTGACAACTGGAACTGGTTGTAATGTTGATGATGGTTTGAGGTATTGTGTTGTCGTGAGTGGTTTTTGAGTGTTGGTCGATGTGGATTTCGTGGTGGACTGATTGTAGTGTGTTGGGACTGCAGTGACAACTGGAACTGGTTGTAATGTTGATGATGGTTTGAGGTATTGTGTTGTCGTGAGTGATGTTGCAGTGGTTTTCAATAATCCATTGATGATCAATTCAAGATCGTCAGGTTTGTATGTGATAGAAGTTTGAACGGGTTTTAATGTTGATGATGGTTTGAGGTATTGTGTTGTCGTGAGTGGTGTTTGAGTGTTGGTCGATGTGGATTTCGTGGTGGACTGATTGTAGTGTGTTGGGACTGCAGTGACAACTGGAACTGGTTGTAATGTTGATGATGGTTTGAGGTATTGTGTTGTCGTGAGTGGTGTTTGAGTGTTGGTCGATGTGGATTTCGTGGTGGACTGATTGTAGTGTGTTGGGACTGCAGTGACAACTGGAACTGGTTGTAGTGTTGATGATGGTTTGAGGTATTGTGTTGTCGTGAGTGGTGTTTGAGTGTTGGTCGATGTGGATTTCGTGGTGGACTGATTGTAGTGTGTTGGGACTGCAGTGACAACTGGAACTGGTTGTAATGTTGATGATGGTTTGAGGTATTGTGTTGTCGTGAGTGGTGTTTGAGTGTTGGTCGATGTGGATTTCGTGGTGGACTGATTGTAGTGTGTTGGGACTGCAGTGACAACTGGAACTGGTTTTAATGTTGATGATGGTTTGAGGTATTGTGTTGTCGTGAGTGGTGTTTGAGTGTTGGTCGATGTGGATTTCGTGGTGGACTGATTGTAGTGTGTTGGGACTGCAGTGACAACTGGAAGTGGTTGTAATGTTGATGATGGTTTGAGGTATTGTGTTGTCGTGAGTGGTGTTTGAGTGTTGGTCGATGTGGATTTCGTGGTGGACTGATTGAAGTGTGTTGGGACTGCAGTGACAACTGGAACTGGTTGTAATGTTGATGATGGTTTGAGGTATTGTGTTGTCGTGAGTGATGTTGCAGTGGTTTTCAATAATCCATTGATGATCAATTCAAGATCGTCAGGTTTGTATGTGATAGAAGTTTGAACGGGTTTTAATGTGGATGATGGTTTGAGGTATTGTGTTGTCGTGAGTGGTGTTTGAGTGTTGGTCGATGTGGATTTCGTGGTGGACTGATTGTAGTGTGTTGGGACTGCAGTGATAACTGGAACTGGTTGTAATGTTGATGATGGTTTGAGGTATTGTGTTGTCGTGAGTGGTGTTTGAGTGTTGGTCGATGTGGATTTCGTGGTGGACTGATTGTAGTGTGTTGGGACTGCAGTGACAACTGGAACTGGTTGTAATGTTGATGATGGTTTGAGGTATTGTGTTGTCGTGAGTGGTGTTTGAGTGTTGGTCGATGTGGATTTCGTGGTGGACTGATTGTAGTGTGTTGGGACTGCAGTGACAACTGGAACTGGTTGTAGTGTTGATGATGGTTTGAGGTATTGTGTTGTCGTGAGTGGTGTTTGAGTGTTGGTCGATGTGGATTTCGTGGTGGACTGATTGTAGTGTGTTGGGACTGCAGTGACAACTGGAACTGGTTGTAATGTTGATGATGGTTTGAGGTATTGTGTTGTCGTGAGTGGTGTTTGAGTGTTGGTCGATGTGGATTTCGTGGTGGACTGATTGTAGTGTGTTGGGACTGCAGTGACAACTGGAACTGGTTGTAATGTTGATGATGGTTTGAGGTATTGTGTTGTCGTGAGTGATGTTGCAGTGGTTTTCAATAATCCATTGATGATCAATTCAAGATCGTCAGGTTTGTATGTGATAGAAGTTTGAACGGGTTTTAATGTTGATGATGGTTTGAGGTATTGTGTTGTCGTGAGTGGTGTTTGAGTGTTGGTCGATGTGGATTTCGTGGTGGACTGATTGTAGTGTGTTGGGACTGCAGTGACAACTGGAACTGGTTGTAATGTTGATGATGGTTTGAGGTATTGTGTTGTCGTGAGTGGTGTTTGAGTGTTGGTCGATGTGGATTTCGTGGTGGACTGATTGTAGTGTGTTGGGACTGCAGTGACAACTGGAAGTGGTTGTAATGTTGATGATGGTTTGAGGTATTGTGTTGTCGTGAGTGGTGTTTGAGTGTTGGTCGATGTGGATTTCGTGGTGGACTGATTGAAGTGTGTTGGGACTGCAGTGACAACTGGAACTGGTTGTAATGTTGATGATGGTTTGAGGTATTGTGTTGTCGTGAGTGGTGTTTGAGTGTTGGTCGATGTGGATTTCGTGGTGGACTGATTGTAGTGTGTTGGGACTGCAGTGACAACTGGAACTGGTTGTAATGTTGATGATGGTTTGAGGTATTGTGTTGTCGTGAGTGGTGTTTGAGTGTTGGTCGATGTGGATTTCGTGGTGGACTGATTGTAGTGTGTTGGGACTGCAGTGACAACTGGAACTGGTTGTAATGTTGATGATGGTTTGAGGTATTGTGTTGTCGTGAGTGGTGTTTGAGTGTTGGTCGATGTGGATTTCGTGGTGGACTGATTGTAAGTGTGTTGGGACTGCAGTGACAACTGGAACTGGTTGTAATGTTGATGATGGTTTGAGGTATTGTGTTGTCGTGAGTGATGTTGCAGTGGTTTTCAATAATCCATTGATGATCAATTCAAGATCGTCAGGTTTGTATGTGATAGAAGTTTGAACGGGTTTTAATGTGGATGATGGTTTGAGGTATTGTGTTGTCGTGAGTGGTGTTTGAGTGTTGGTCGATGTGGATTTCGTGGTGGACTGATTGTAGTGTGTTGGGACTGCAGTGATAACTGGAACTGGTTGTAATGTTGATGATGGTTTGAGGTATTGTGTTGTCGTGAGTGGTGTTTGAGTGTTGGTCGATGTGGATTTCGTGGTGGACTGATTGTAGTGTGTTGGGACTGCAGTGACAACTGGAACTGGTTGTAATGTTGATGATGGTTTGAGGTATTGTGTTGTCGTGAGTGGTGTTTGAGTGTTGGTCGATGTGGATTTCGTGGTGGACTGATTGTAGTGTGTTGGGACTGCAGTGACAACTGGAACTGGTTGTAGTGTTGATGATGGTTTGAGGTATTGTGTTGTCGTGAGTGGTGTTTGAGTGTTGGTCGATGTGGATTTCGTGGTGGACTGATTGTAGTGTGTTGGGACTGCAGTGACAACTGGAAGTGGTTGTAATGTTGATGATGGTTTGAGGTATTGTGTTGTCGTGAGTGGTGTTTGAGTGTTGGTCGATGTGGATTTCGTGGTGGACTGATTGTAGTGTGTTGGGACTGCAGTGACAACTGGAACTGGTTGTAATGTTGATGATGGTTTGAGGTATTGTGTTGTCGTGAGTGGTGTTTGAGTGTTGGTCGATGTGGATTTCGTGGTGGACTGATTGTAGTGTGTTGGGACTGCAGTGACAACTGGAAGTGGTTGTAATGTTGATGATGGTTTGAGGTATTGTGTTGTCGTGAGTGGTGTTTGAGTGTTGGTCGATGTGGATTTCGTGGTGGACTGATTGTAGTGTGTTGGGATTGCAGTGACAACTGGAACTGGTTGTAGTGTTGATGATGGTTTGAGGTATTGTTTTGTCGTGAGTGATGTTGCAGTGGTTTTCAATAATCCATTGATGATCAATTCAAGATCGTCAGGTTTGTATGTGATAGAAGTTTGAACGGGTTTTAATGTTGATGATGGTTTGAGGTATTGTGTTGTCGTGAGTGGTGTTTGAGTGTTGGTCGATGTGGATTTCGTGGTGGACTGATTGTAGTGTGTTGGGACTGCAGTGACAACTGGAACTGGTTGTAATGTTGATGATGGTTTGAGGTATTGTGTTGTCGTGAGTGATGTTGCAGTGGTTTTCAATAATCCATTGATGATCAATTCAAGATCGTCAGGTTTGTATGTGATAGAAGTTTGAACGGGTTTTAATGTTGATGATGGTTTGAGGTATTGTGTTGTCGTGAGTGGTGTTTGAGTGTTGGTCGATGTGGATTTCGTGGTGGACTGATTGTAGTGTGTTGGGACTGCAGTGACAACTGGAACTGGTTGTAGTGTTGATGATGGTTTGAGGTATTGTGTTGTCGTGAGTGGTGTTTGAGTGTTGGTCGATGTGGATTTCGTGGTGGACTGATTGTAGTGTGTTGGGACTGCAGTGACAACTGGAACTGGTTGTAATGTTGATGATGGTTTGAGGTATTGTGTTGTCGTGAGTGGTGTTTGAGTGTTGGTCGATGTGGATTTCGTGGTGGACTGATTGTAGTGTGTTGGGACTGCAGTGACAACTGGAACTGGTTGTAATGTTGATGATGGTTTGAGGTATTGTGTTGTCGTGAGTGGTGTTTGAGTGTTGGTCGATGTGGATTTCGTGGTGGACTGATTGTAGTGTGTTGGGACTGCAGTGACAACTGGAACTGGTTGTAGTGTTGATGATGGTTTGAGGTATTGTGTTGTCGTGAGTGGTGTTTGAGTGTTGGTCGATGTGGATTTCGCGGTGGACTGATTGTAGTGTGTTGGGATTGCAGTGACAACTGGAACTGGTTGTAATGTTGATGATGGTTTGAGGTATTGTGTTGTCGTGAGTGATGTTGCAGTGGTTTTCAATAATCCATTGATGATCAATTCAAGATCGTCAGGTTTGTATGTGATAGAAGTTTGAACGGGTTTTAATGTTGATGATGGTTTGAGGTATTGTGTTGTCGTGAGTGGTGTTTGAGTGTTGGTCGATGTGGATTTCGTGGTGGACTGATTGTAGTGTGTTGGGACTGCAGTGACAACTGGAAATGGTTGTAATGTTGATGATGGTTTGAGGTATTGTGTTGTCGTGAGTGATGTTGCAGTGGTTTTCAATAATCCATTGATGATCAATTCAAGATCGTCAGGTTTGTATGTGATAGAAGTTTGAACGGGTTTTAATGTTGATGATGGTTTGAGGTATTGTGTTGTCGTGAGTGGTGTTTGAGTGTTGGTCGATGTGGATTTCGTGGTGGACTGATTGTAGTGTGTTGGGACTGCAGTGACAACTGGAACTGGTTGTAGTGTTGATGATGGTTTGAGGTATTGTGTTGTCGTGAGTGGTGTTTGAGTGTTGGTCGATGTGGATTTCGTGGTGGACTGATTGTAGTGTGTTGGGACTGCAGTGACAACTGGAACTGGTTGTAATGTTGATGATGGTTTGAGGTATTGTGTTGTCGTGAGTGGTGTTTGAGTGTTGGTCGATGTGGATTTCGTGGTGGACTGATTGTAGTGTGTTGGGACTGCAGTGACAACTGGAACTGGTTGTAATGTTGATGATGGTTTGAGGTATTGTGTTGTCGTGAGTGGTGTTTGAGTGTTGGTCGATGTGGATTTCGTGGTGGACTGATTGTAGTGTGTTGGGACTGCAGTGACAACTGGAAGTGGTTGTAATGTTGATGATGGTTTGAGGTATTGTGTTGTCGTGAGTGGTGTTTGAGTGTTGGTCGATGTGGATTTCGTGGTGGACTGATTGTAGTGTGTTGGGACTGCAGTGACAACTGGAACTGGTTGTAATGTTGATGATGGTTTGAGGTATTGTGTTGTCGTGAGTGGTGTTTGAGTGTTGGTCGATGTGGATTTCGTGGTGGACTGATTGTAGTGTGTTGGGATTGCAGTGACAACTGGAACTGGTTGTAATGTTGATGATGGTTTGAGGTATTGTGTTGTCGTGAGTGATGTTGCAGTGGTTTTCAATAATCCATTGATGATCAATTCAAGATCGTCAGGTTTGTATGTGATAGAAGTTTGAACGGGTTTTAATGTTGATGATGGTTTGAGGTATTGTGTTGTCGTGAGTGGTGTTTGAGTGTTGGTCGATGTGGATTTCGTGGTGGACTGATTGTAGTGTGTTGGGACTGCAGTGACAACTGGAACTGGTTGTAGTGTTGATGATGGTTTGAGGTATTGTGTTGTCGTGAGTGGTGTTTGAGTGTTGGTCGATGTGGATTTCGTGGTGGACTGATTGTAGTGTGTTGGGACTGCAGTGACAACTGGAACTGGTTGTAATGTTGATGATGGTTTGAGGTATTGTGTTGTCGTGAGTGGTGTTTGAGTGTTAGGTCGATGTGGATTTCGTGGTGGACTGATTGTAGTGTGTTGGGACTGCAGTGACAACTGGAACTGGTTGTAATGTTGATGATGGTTTGAGGTATTGTGTTGTCGTGAGTGGTGTTTGAGTGTTGGTCGATGTGGATTTCGTGGTGGACTGATTGTAGTGTGTTGGGACTGCAGTGACAACTGGAACTGGTTGTAATGTTGATGATGGTTTGAGGTATTGTGTTGTCGTGAGTGGTGTTTGAGTGTTGGTCGATGTGGATTTCGTGGTGGACTGATTGTAGTGTGTTGGGACTGCAGTGACAACTGGAACTGGTTGTGATGATGGTTTGAGGTATTGTGTTGTCGTGAGTGGTGTTTGAGTGTTGGTCGATGTGGATTTCGTGGTGGACTGATTGTAGTGTGTTGGGACTGCAGTGACAACTGGAACTGGTTGTAATGTTGATGATGGTTTGAGGTATTGTGTTGTCGTGAGTGATGTTGCAGTGGTTTTCAATAATCCATTGATGATCAATTCAAGATCGTCAGGTTTGTATGTGATAGAAGTTTGAACGGGTTTTAATGTTGATGATGGTTTGAGGTATTGTGTTGTCGTGAGTGGTGTTTGAGTGTTGGTCGATGTGGATTTCGTGGTGGACTGATTGTAGTGTGTTGGGACTGCAGTGACAACTGGAACTGGTTGTAATGTTGATGATGGTTTGAGGTATTGTGTTGTCGTGAGTGGTGTTTGAGTGTTGGTCGATGTGGATTTCGTGGTGGACTGATTGTAGTGTGTTGGGACTGCAGTGACAACTGGAACTGGTTGTAATGTTGATGATGGTTTGAGGTATTGTGTTGTCGTGAGTGGTGTTTGAGTGTTGGTCGATGTGGATTTCGTGGTGGACTGATTGTAGTGTGTTGGGACTGCAGTGACAACTGGAACTGGTTGTAATGTTGATGATGGTTTGAGGTATTGTGTTGTCGTGAGTGATGTTGCAGTGGTTTTCAATAATCCATTGATGATCAATTCAAGATCGTCAGGTTTGTATGTGATAGAAGTTTGAACGGGTTTTAATGTTGATGATGGTTTGAGGTATTGTGTTGTCGTGAGTGGTGTTTGAGTGTTGGTCGATGTGGATTTCGTGGTGGACTGATTGTAGTGTGTTGGGACTGCAGTGACAACTGGAACTGGTTGTAATGTTGATGATGGTTTGAGGTATTGTGTTGTCGTGAGTGGTGTTTGAGTGTTGGTCGATGTGGATTTCGTGGTGGACTGATTGTAGTGTGTTGGGATTGCAGTGACAACTGGAACTGGTTGTAATGTTGATGATGGTTTGAGGTATTGTGTTGTCGTGAGTGGTGTTTGAGTGTTGGTCGATGTGGATTTCGTGGTGGACTGATTGTAGTGTGTTGGGACTGCAGTGACAACTGGAACTGGTTGTAATGTTGATGATGGTTTGAGGTATTGTGTTGTCGTGAGTGGTGTTTGAGTGTTGGTCGATGTGGATTTCGTGGTGGACTGATTGTAGTGTGTTGGGACTGCAGTGACAACTGGAACTGGTTGTAATGTTGATGATGGTTTGAGGTATTGTGTTGTCGTGAGTGGTGTTTGAGTGTTGGTCGATGTGGATTTCGTGGTGGACTGATTGTAGTGTGTTGGGACTGCAGTGACAACTGGAACTGGTTGTAATGTTGATGATGGTTTGAGGTATTGTGTTGTCGTGAGTGGTGTTTGAGTGTTGGTCGATGTGGATTTCGTGGTGGACTGATTGTAGTGTGTTGGGATTGCAGTGACAACTGGAACTGGTTGTAATGTTGATGATGGTTTGAGGTATTGTGTTGTCGTGAGTGGTGTTTGAGTGTTGGTCGATGTGGATTTCGTGGTGGACTGATTGTAGTGTGTTGGGACTGCAGTGACAACTGGAACTGGTTGTAATGTTGATGATGGTTTGAGGTATTGTGTTGTCGTGAGTGATGTTGCAGTGGTTTTCAATAATCCATTGATGATCAATTCAAGATCGTCAGGTTTGTATGTGATAGAAGTTTGAACGGGTTTTAATGTTGATGATGGTTTGAGGTATTGTGTTGTCGTGAGTGGTGTTTGAGTGTTGGTCGATGTGGATTTCGTGGTGGACTGATTGAAGTGTGTTGGGACTGCAGTGACAACTGGAACTGGTTGTAATGTTGATGATGGTTTGAGGTATTGTGTTGTCGTGAGTGGTGTTTGAGTGTTGGTCGATGTGGATTTCGTGGTGGACTGATTGTAGTGTGTTGGGACTGCAGTGACAACTGGAACTGGTTGTAATGTTGATGATGGTTTGAGGTATTGTGTTGTCGTGAGTGGTGTTTGAGTGTTGGTCGATGTGGATTTCGTGGTGGACTGATTGTAGTGTGTTGGGACTGCAGTGACAACTGGAACTGGTTGTAATGTTGATGATGGTTTGAGGTATTGTGTTGTCGTGAGTGGTGTTTGAGTGTTGGTCGATGTGGATTTCGTGGTGGACTGATTGTAGTGTGTTGGGACTGCAGTGACAACTGGAACTGGTTGTAATGTTGATGATGGTTTGAGGTATTGTGTTGTCGTGAGTGGTGTTTGAGTGTTGGTCGATGTGGATTTCGTGGTGGACTGATTGTAGTGTGTTGGGACTGCAGTGACAACTGGAACTGGTTGTAATGTTGATGATGGTTTGAGGTATTGTGTTGTCGTGAGTGGTGTTTGAGTGTTGGTCGATGTGGATTTCGTGGTGGACTGATTGTAGTGTGTTGGGACTTACAGTGACAACTGGAACTGGTTGTAATGTTGATGATGGTTTGAGGTATTGTGTTGTCGTGAGTGATGTTGCAGTGGTTTTCAATAATCCATTGATGATCAATTCAAGATCGTCAGGTTTGTATGTGATAGAAGTTTGAACGGGTTTTAATGTTGATGATGGTTTGAGGTATTGTGTTGTCGTGAGTGGTGTTTGAGTGTTGGTCGATGTGGATTTCGTGGTGGACTGATTGTAGTGTGTTGGGACTGCAGTGACAACTGGAACTGGTTGTAATGTTGATGATGGTTTGAGGTATTGTGTTGTCGTGAGTGGTGTTTGAGTGTTGGTCGATGTGGATTTCGTGGTGGACTGATTGTAGTGTGTTGGGACTGCAGTGACAACTGGAACTGGTTGTAATGTTGATGATGGTTTGAGGTATTGTGTTGTCGTGAGTGGTGTTTGAGTGTTGGTCGATGTGGATTTCGTGGTGGACTGATTGTAGTGTGTTGGGACTGCAGTGACAACTGGAACTGGTTGTAATGTTGATGATGGTTTGAGGTATTGTGTTGTCGTGAGTGGTGTTTGAGTGTTGGTCGATGTGGATTTCGTGGTGGACTGATTGTAGTGTGTTGGGACTGCAGTGACAACTGGAACTGGTTGTAATGTTGATGATGGTTTGAGGTATTGTGTTGTCGTGAGTGGTGTTTGAGTGTTGGTCGATGTGGATTTCGTGGTGGACTGATTGTAGTGTGTTGGGACTGCAGTGACAACTGGAACTGGTTGTAATGTTGATGATGGTTTGAGGTATTGTGTTGTCGTGAGTGGTGTTTGAGTGTTGGTCGATGTGGATTTCGTGGTGGACTGATTGTAGTGTGTTGGGACTGCAGTGACAACTGGAACTGGTTGTAATGTTGATGATGGTTTGAGGTATTGTGTTGTCGTGAGTGGTGTTTGAGTGTTGGTCGATGTGGATTTCGTGGTGGACTGATTGTAGTGTGTTGGGACTGCAGTGACAACTGGAACTGGTTGTAATGTTGATGATGGTTTGAGGTATTGTGTTGTCGTGAGTGGTGTTTGAGTGTTGGTCGATGTGGATTTCGTGGTGGACTGATTGTAGTGTGTTGGGACTGCAGTGACAACTGGAACTGGTTGTAATGTTGATGATGGTTTGAGGTATTGTGTTGTCGTGAGTGGTGTTTGAGTGTTGGTCGATGTGGATTTCGTGGTGGACTGATTGTAGTGTGTTGGGACTGCAGTGACAACTGGAACTGGTTGTAATGTTGATGATGGTTTGAGGTATTGTGTTGTCGTGAGTGATGTTGCAGTGGTTTTCAATAATCCATTGATGATCAATTCAAGATCGTCAGGTTTGTATGTGATAGAAGTTTGAACGGGTTTTAATGTGGATGATGGTTTGAGGTATTGTGTTGTCGTGAGTGGTGTTTGAGTGTTGGTCGATGTGGATTTCGTGGTGGACTGATTGTAGTGTGTTGGGACTGCAGTGACAACTGGAACTGGTTGTAATGTTGATGATGGTTTGAGGTATTGTGTTGTCGTGAGTGGTGTTTGAGTGTTGGTCGATGTGGATTTCGTGGTGGACTGATTGTAGTGTGTTGGGACTGCAGTGACAACTGGAACTGGTTGTAATGTTGATGATGGTTTGAGGTATTGTGTTGTCGTGAGTGGTGTTTGAGTGTTGGTCGATGTGGATTTCGTGGTGGACTGATTGTAGTGTGTTGGGACTGCAGTGACAACTGGAACTGGTTGTAATGTTGATGATGGTTTGAGGTATTGTGTTGTCGTGAGTGGTGTTTGAGTGTTGGTTGATGTGGATTTCGTGGTGGACTGATTGAAGTGTGTTGGGACTGCAGTGACAACTGGAACTGGTTGTAATGTTGATGATGGTTTGAGGTATTGTGTTGTCGTGAGTGGTGTTTGAGTGTTGGTCGATGTGGATTTCGTGGTGGACTGATTGTAGTGTGTTGGGACTGCAGTGACAACTGGAACTGGTTGTAATGTTGATGATGGTTTGAGGTATTGTGTTGTCGTGAGTGGTGTTTGAGTGTTGGTCGATGTGGATTTCGTGGTGGACTGATTGTAGTGTGTTGGGACTGCAGTGACAACTGGAACTGGTTGTAATGTTGATGATGGTTTGAGGTATTGTGTTGTCGTGAGTGGTGTTTGAGTGTTGGTCGATGTGGATTTCGTGGTGGACTGATTGTAGTGTGTTGGGACTGCAGTGACAACTGGAACTGGTTGTAATGTTGATGATGGTTTGAGGTATTGTGTTGTCGTGAGTGGTGTTTGAGTGTTGGTCGATGTGGATTTCGTGGTGGACTGATTGTAGTGTGTTGGGACTGCAGTGACAACTGGAACTGGTTGTAATGTTGATGATGGTTTGAGGTATTGTGTTGTCGTGAGTGATGTTGCAGTGGTTTTCAATAATCCATTGATGATCAATTCAAGATCGTCAGGTTTGTATGTGATAGAAGTTTGAACGGGTTTTAATGTTGATGATGGTTTGAGGTATTGTGTTGTCGTGAGTGGTGTTTGAGTGTTGGTCGATGTGGATTTCGTGGTGGACTGATTGTAGTGTGTTGGGACTGCAGTGACAACTGGAACTGGTTGTAATGTTGATGATGGTTTGAGGTATTGTGTTGTCGTGAGTGGTGTTTGAGTGTTGGTCGATGTGGATTTCGTGGTGGACTGATTGTAGTGTGTTGGGACTGCAGTGACAACTGGAACTGGTTGTAATGTTGATGATGGTTTGAGGTATTGTGTTGTCGTGAGTGGTGTTTGAGTGTTGGTCGATGTGGATTTCGTGGTGGACTGATTGTAGTGTGTTGGGACTGCAGTGACAACTGGAAGTGGTTGTAATGTTGATGATGGTTTGAGGTATTGTGTTGTCGTGAGTGGTGTTTGAGTGTTGGTCGATGTGGATTTCGTGGTGGACTGATTGTAGTGTGTTGGGACTGCAGTGACAACTGGAACTGGTTGTAATGTTGATGATGGTTTGAGGTATTGTGTTGTCGTGAGTGGTGTTTGAGTGTTGGTCGATGTGGATTTCGTGGTGGACTGATTGTAGTGTGTTGGGACTGCAGTGACAACTGGAACTGGTTGTAATGTTGATGATGGTTTGAGGTATTGTGTTGTCGTGAGTGGTGTTTGAGTGTTGGTCGATGTGGATTTCGTGGTGGACTGATTGTAGTGTGTTGGGACTGCAGTGACAACTGGAACTGGTTGTAATGTTGATGATGGTTTGAGGTATTGTGTTGTCGTGAGTGGTGTTTGAGTGTTGGTCGATGTGGATTTCGTGGTGGACTGATTGTAGTGTGTTGGGACTGCAGTGACAACTGGAACTGGTTGTAATGTTGATGATGGTTTGAGGTATTGTGTTGTCGTGAGTGGTGTTTGAGTGTTGGTCGATGTGGATTTCGTGGTGGACTGATTGTAGTGTGTTGGGACTGCAGTGACAACTGGAACTGGTTGTAATGTTGATGATGGTTTGAGGTATTGTGTTGTCGTGAGTGGTGTTTGAGTGTTGGTCGATGTGGATTTCGTGGTGGACTGATTGTAGTGTGTTGGGACTGCAGTGACAACTGGAACTGGTTGTAATGTTGATGATGGTTTGAGGTATTGTGTTGTCGTGAGTGGTGTTTGAGTGTTGGTCGATGTGGATTTCGTGGTGGACTGATTGTAGTGTGTTGGGACTGCAGTGACAACTGGAACTGGTTGTAATGTTGATGATGGTTTGAGGTATTGTGTTGTCGTGAGTGGTGTTTGAGTGTTGGTCGATGTGGATTTCGTGGTGGACTGATTGTAGTGTGTTGGGACTGCAGTGACAACTGGAACTGGTTGTAATGTTGATGATGGTTTGAGGTATTGTGTTGTCGTGAGTGGTGTTTGAGTGTTGGTCGATGTGGATTTCGTGGTGGACTGATTGTAGTGTGTTGGGACTGCAGTGACAACTGGAACTGGTTGTAATGTTGATGATGGTTTGAGGTATTGTGTTGTCGTGAGTGGTGTTTGAGTGTTGGTCGATGTGGATTTCGTGGTGGACTGATTGTAGTGTGTTGGGACTGCAGTGACAACTGGAACTGGTTGTAATGTTGATGATGGTTTGAGGTATTGTGTTGTCGTGAGTGGTGTTTGAGTGTTGGTCGATGTGGATTTCGTGGTGGACTGATTGTAGTGTGTTGGGACTGCAGTGACAACTGGAACTGGTTGTAGTGTTGATGATGGTTTGAGGTATTGTGTTGTCGTGAGTGGTGTTTGAGTGTTGGTCGATGTGGATTTCGTGGTGGACTGATTGTAGTGTGTTGGGACTGCAGTGACAACTGGAACTGGTTGTAGTGTTGATGATGGTTTGAGGTATTGTGTTGTCGTGAGTGGTGTTTGAGTGTTGGTCGATGTGGATTTCGTGGTGGACTGATTGTAGTGTGTTGGGACTGCAGTGACAACTGGAACTGGTTGTAATGTTGATGATGGTTTGAGGTATTGTGTTGTCGTGAGTGGTGTTTGAGTGTTGGTCGATGTGGATTTCGTGGTGGACTGATTGTAGTGTGTTGGGACTGCAGTGACAACTGGAACTGGTTGTAATGTTGATGATGGTTTGAGGTATTGTGTTGTCGTGAGTGGTGTTTGAGTGTTGGTCGATGTGGATTTCGTGGTGGACTGATTGTAGTGTGTTGGGACTGCAGTGACAACTGGAACTGGTTGTAGTGTTGATGATGGTTTGAGGTATTGTGTTGTCGTGAGTGGTGTTTGAGTGTTGGTCGATGTGGATTTCGTGGTGGACTGATTGTAGTGTGTTGGGACTGCAGTGACAACTGGAACTGGTTGTAGTGTTGATGATGGTTTGAGGTATTGTGTTGTCGTGAGTGATGTTGCAGTGGTTTTCAATAATCCATTGATGATCAATTCAAGATCGTCAGGTTTGTATGTGATAGAAGTTTGAACGGGTTTTAATGTTGATGATGGTTTGAGGTATTGTGTTGTCGTGAGTGGTGTTTGAGTGTTGGTCGATGTGGATTTCGTGGTGGACTGATTGTAGTGTGTTGGGACTGCAGTGACAACTGGAACTGGTTGTAATGTTGATGATGGTTTGAGGTATTGTGTTGTCGTGAGTGGTGTTTGAGTGTTGGTCGATGTGGATTTCGTGGTGGACTGATTGTAGTGTGTTGGGACTGCAGTGACAACTGGAACTGGTTGTAGTGTTGATGATGGTTTGAGGTATTGTGTTGTCGTGAGTGGTGTTTGAGTGTTGGTCGATGTGGATTTCGTGGTGGACTGATTGTAGTGTGTTGGGACTGCAGTGACAACTGGAACTGGTTGTAATGTTGATGATGGTTTGAGGTATTGTGTTGTCGTGAGTGGTGTTTGAGTGTTGGTCGATGTGGATTTCGTGGTGGACTGATTGTAGTGTGTTGGGACTGCAGTGACAACTGGAACTGGTTGTAGTGTTGATGATGGTTTGAGGTATTGTGTTGTCGTGAGTGATGTTGCAGTGGTTTTCAATAATCCATTGATGATCAATTCAAGATCGTCAGGTTTGTATGTGATAGAAGTTTGAACGGGTTTTAATGTTGATGATGGTTTGAGGTATTGTGTTGTCGTGAGTGGTGTTTGAGTGTTGGTCGATGTGGATTTCGTGGTGGACTGATTGTAGTGTGTTGGGACTGCAGTGACAACTGGAACTGGTTGTAATGTTGATGATGGTTTGAGGTATTGTGTTGTCGTGAGTGGTGTTTGAGTGTTGGTCGATGTGGATTTCGTGGTGGACTGATTGTAGTGTGTTGGGACTGCAGTGACAACTGGAACTGGTTGTAGTGTTGATGATGGTTTGAGGTATTGTGTTGTCGTGAGTGGTGTTTGAGTGTTGGTCGATGTGGATTTCGTGGTGGACTGATTGTAGTGTGTTGGGACTGCAGTGACAACTGGAACTGGTTGTAGTGTTGATGATGGTTTGAGGTATTGTGTTGTCGTGAGTGATGTTGCAGTGGTTTTCAATAATCCATTGGTGATCAATTCAAGATCGTCAGGTTTGTATGTGATAGAAGTTTGAACGGGTTTTAATGTTGATGATGGTTTGAGGTATTGTGTTGTCGTGAGTGGTGTTTGAGTGTTGGTCGATGTGGATTTCGTGGTGGACTGATTGTAGTGTGTTGGGACTGCAGTGACAACTGGAACTGGTTGTAATGTTGATGATGGTTTGAGGTATTGTGTTGTCGTGAGTGGTGTTTGAGTGTTGGTCGATGTGGATTTCGTGGTGGACTGATTGTAGTGTGTTGGGACTGCAGTGACAACTGGAACTGGTTGTAATGTTGATGATGGTTTGAGGTATTGTGTTGTCGTGAGTGGTGTTTGAGTGTTGGTCGATGTGGATTTCGTGGTGGACTGATTGTAGTGTGTTGGGACTGCAGTGACAACTGGAACTGGTTGTAATGTTGATGATGGTTTGAGGTATTGTGTTGTCGTGAGTGGTGTTTGAGTGTTGGTCGATGTGGATTTCGTGGTGGACTGATTGTAGTGTGTTGGGACTGCAGTGGCAACTGGGACTGGTTGTAATGTTGATGATGGTTTGAGGTATTGTGTTGTCGTGAGTGGTGTTTGAGTGTTGGTCGATGTGGATTTCGTGGTGGACTGATTGTAGTGTGTTGGGACTGCAGTGACAACTGGAACTGGTTGTAATGTTGATGATGGTTTGAGGTATTGTGTTGTCGTGAGTGGTGTTTGAGTGTTGGTCGATGTGGATTTCGTGGTGGACTGATTGTAGTGTGTTGGGACTGCAGTGGCAACTGGGACTCTTTTAATTATTTTTGTGTCTAGTTCCTTAAATATTTTTAATGCACCAGTCTTTTGAATTTCCGGGCATCTTTCATTTTCTTCTATGTTATATTCTTGGTTTATTTCTTCTTCTCTGATTGTTTTTCTTCTTTTTGTTTCATTACTACAGCTTTCTATCTGCTCATGCTCTTCTATATCGTCATATTTCTTATCTTTCATTTTGCACGGTAATTGTTCTTTGTCATATTTCTTTGCATTTTCTGACTGATTACATTCTGTTTGACTGAGCTCATCATATTGTTTTCTATATAATCTATTAGATTTTCTTATTTTCATTTGTAATTTATTTTGATTTGATCTAATTTTATTTGTGAAATTATCTTCTTCTTCTTCTTCTATACTTTTTATATATTTTCCATATTTTTTGTGTTTTTGTTTTTGTTTTTGGCATTGATCATTTTCACTGGAATTAATGATCATTTGACGATATTTATGATTGTTAATTAAATCTACTGACAATCTATTAGATATTGATTTTTGATCATTCCATTCTGTTTCTCTTATATTATCATTACTTATTTGTAATCGATTGTTTTTATCATCAATTGGATTAGTTACATTGATATCATAAAGAATCTGTGAAATTGTATGATTCTCTTGTTCATTGTTGAATTCATTCAATTGTCCATTAATATGATTTAATTGTAATATCAAATAGAAACAGAATGTCATTAAAATCATCATCATCTTCATCAATATCATAATTTGTGTATAATTGAATTATAGTTTATCATTAGATAATCAGTAATGTTATATAGTTGGCTTTCACACTTGAATACGTTGTTGTTTTTTTTTGTTGTTTCGAAATCCATTATACTTATATACTCATATGAAAAGTACAAAGGAAACCTTAAATTTACCTTATTATTTTGATTTATTTAACTAATTCCTTAAATGTGTACCCCCATTAAATAATTTTTTTATAATTTTTCCTATACTTTGAATATATATTCTTTATGGAAATTATGTAGATTATGATAAGTTTTATATTGGTAACTAGTTTTTATAGGTGTCAGTTATTATTATTATTATTATTACTATTACTATTACTATTATGTATGATTCTATGTTACTGACTTACCCCCTATTCAATGTTTTCTTTTATTTCAATCAAAATATATAATCATTTTAATCCTACATTCTTTTTTTAATTTTTTTATTCTTCTTAATTGATTATTTTCATGAGTTAGGTTTATATTTAAAATTTTTTTAAAAACACCCAGGCAACTAATAAGGTGAATCTTTTGTCCTTTACTAATCTTTATTGAATAATTACTAAAGATATGACTTTGATTTATTTATTTTTATTTTAATCAATTTAACATAATTGAAATATCTTTCAATTAAACTTTTACATTATTGCAATTAATTTATAATATATCAAATGTACTTTTGAATACATTACATGTATAGAATTATAGTAACTACCAGTACTAGTAATGACAGTATTGACGAGAATACTACTACTACTACTACTACTGTGGTGTGGTCTACTTATACCCATATAAGTAGTATATGATGATGGTCAGACATAGAATGTATTTTGGCAGAAGTTCGATAAGGAAAGAACTGAAATGAAGCGTAATTGGTAGGAAAATGCATGAACAACGGAATTAGAGAATATGAACTGATATTTACAGAAGAAACAGTGAAGATTGAGATAATTGGTTGTTAATTTGCAAATTAATTGTTCATTGTATGGTTATCAGAATTTAGTGAGATAGTATGTAATATTTTGCCTAATTACATTTGATTGTCCCGAACAGGTGTTCTGTTCACTACTACTCCTACTACTCCTACTACTCCTACTACTCCTACTCCTCCTCCTCCTCCTCCTACTACTACTACTACTAATAATAATAATAATAATAATAATAAGTAGATATGTACAATAATAAAAATCGTTAAAAAAAGAGGAAAGAAATTAAATTGAAATAAAGTAGATAAAGAAGATAGATGAGGAATAAGAGAAATAACAGTAGGAAGAATATGAAAAGTAGGATTAGTCACAGCATTATGGTGAAGTGAAGAAGATGAAGTTACCAGAACAGAATTGTAGAGACAAAGAGATACGAATAACAAAAAATAGATGCGAATAACAAAAAGTAAAAGTAAAAAGTGATAGAGTAATTATCTCAGAGAATTGTTAATTATTCAGTTTGAATAATTAGATTCATGAGTTGATCTAAGCTAGACCATTATTGGAAACCTGGAAGCACAGGATGGCCGTTTCGTCCTAGTATTGAACTCCTCTATAGTGTTGATTCACAATCCCGCAGGTGAGACTGGAATCCAGGACCTTTGATCTCGCGGACGAACACTTACTCTCTAAGCTATTGAGCGGAAATCTGACGGTATTAATGTCCAATTTTAATCGATTCATGATCTTTGGCAGCTATTTCAATACTTTCGTGTTTTCAACTATGGTCTAGTTTAGATCGACTAATGAATTGAACTATTAAAGCTATGACAATCTCCAAAAATCCCCATTTCCAATAATTATTTAGTTCATAAATTTATTTTCCAGATAACAGTATTAAATCGCTTCAAATGTAAACAATCAGGAAAAAAACAGATGTATTACTATTAAGTTCATAAAATATGATACAAGCCTTTTTTGACTGCTAAATTTGCAAAATAGTTTATACTAATATCACAATCACATACTTGTAGTTATTCTATCAAACTTTAATTCCTCACTTCATGGAATGTGGCTAGTATGGAATTGATGACACGGGATTCATTACATTTTGGACACGTCAACTGAATGTACCTGCATTCTAATGTTGATGTTTACACTGTGACTTAAACTCAATACCCTTCAATCTGAAAGCTCAACGAATAATCCATTTAGCGACTGAGTCCAGATAGCCACTGACCTGTTCAATGAGATAAGTTTAAATTAATTAATAAGATTTGTCTAAATCTTCTGATTTTTGAATTGTACAATTGATTCCGAATCCAGGAGTAAACACAATACAGGTGCTTTCACCTAACAAGTCTCAAATAGTTAGTTGTCATTAGACCAAGTTAGTTGATTTTAACTCGAAATAATCTAAAAAATCTCTTACATTATAAAATTTATTGAGTAGTTACTAGTTTGATATTTATTAATTGGATACTGATATAATATGTAAGGTTGAGAAGTATAAAACCATGTTTAAATGCTTATGTACACAACATTCAACAGTTTGTTTAGTTTTTAAATATAATTTTGCTACTAGTGTTCTAAACTACGTTCTGGGTATTATAAAACTTATGATTTATTTTATAATACTACTAACTTTTAATAAGTAGTATCATAGAATCATCAAATTATAACCTAGACCACCATCGAAAACCTGGAAGCACTGGACGGCCGTTTCGTCCTATTGTGGGACTCCTCAGCAGTGCGCATCCACGATCCCGCACTCGCGAGATTCGAACCTAGGACCTACCAGTCTTTAGCCGGAGCCCTTAACAGATAGACTACTGAGCCGGCATCCAATGGTGTTAATGTCCAACTTCAACCGATCCACGATCTTTAGCGACCTTTCACCAATTGTGGATGCGCACTGATGAAGAGTCCCATAATAGGACGAAACGGCCGTCCAGTGCTTCCAGGTTTTCGATGGTGATCTAGCTTCAATTGACCCATGATTTCAACTATGAAAATACTAAATTCTCCACAAAAACCCCTCTGAACCAAATTATAACCGGCAAATATAAGTTATATTTCCCTTACATCTATATACTATTAATTATAAGTGTCTAATGTTATTTCATATAAGCTTATGAAATAATCATCACAATTATGAATAAATTTCAAGAAATCGAATCAATATACACTTGTCTTTTTTTCCATAATATATTGATTGGTCATATACTCTACACACAATCTTATATCATCTTGAGATACTGAATAACCCTAATTTTTGAACATGGTAAACATTAAGAAGTATCATAAGCTAGTGAAGTATCAATAATCAAGGAGTACTGAGCAACTGGTACCTCTTAGTTTCATATTATTCACCTATCCACACTATCGATGCTATTAAGGGTTGAATTCACAATATTTAGCTTTTCCGATTGGTCCTTTACTTTTAAATCATTATAATGAACTTATTTTATTTATATATCTATGTATAAAAATCGGCTATGCTAAATTAAGCACTGTAAATCAGTTTCAGTATATTTACTATGAAGAATGAACTAGTGGTATTCATACATTAATCTCCATTGATCCACAGTTACAAATAACGTTCAAAGACTTGATATTCGATCATTCAAATCTGTTGATAAGCTCATGTAATTCATTCATTCATCTTCATGATAATGTGATGATTGATTACTTAAAGATTTTAAAAGATTAATTATGTTACGAACACCATGAAACAAGTCCTTTAAACACCTCTACCTTTGTATTTATGTTCATGTTATTCTATAGACTTGTAACAGATCTAAATGTTAGTAGGTGTTAATTTTAATTGTTGAAACCAACCACATTTTTGAAATTTTCTACAAGTATTTCCAATTGAATGAATTTTGATTTTTGACTGACCAGACTGTTGTAATGAATCTTTCTGTATCAGGCTGTATCACTTAAGGTGATTGTTCTTGACTATTTTATGGTGCACTAAACTAAGCTGGTTATTAAGATGTATCCCACATCGAAGAATCAAGGTCCGGCTTTACTAGTCAACTGATTTCGATATACTAGACATCGGTGAATCTAATAGTGGGTGTTTTGGATTCATGAGAAGATATGAACCACAAACCTGATTTTGATTAACTAGTAATTTCAGAAGTAGTTGAATATTTCTAGGATGATAAGTTTGTGAGTGTTTCGGAATGGATTACTAAATATGTTGTTGGACGATTTGTTAACCATATGGTATAACAAGATAATATGTCATTATTTAGGTCAATATTTTTTGTATCAATTCATTATGAAATTCGACCAGAGCGACGTGTGAACTTCGTTCATTATGACTTTTTTGGTCAGTATTTCTTGTATTAATCTGATGTAAACACCATACAACACGACAAGCGTAAACCTTCGTTCAGAGTGACATTTTTGCTCCTTGCATTAATTACGGTGAATTATGTTCAGTGTGTACGTTTTTATTGTAACTATATCCACTTTCTCTTCCATGTTATTGTGTGCAAACATTAACATATAAATGACTGTATTTTGGACTATGGATGACGTGTTTTAGTGATTTGTCTGTTGACGTGTTTCGGGAAATGAAAACGCTTTGATTGCATCAGTCTTTCGCTTTCTTATTTTGTGTCGTATAAATTTTTAGCGGTTCCCAAATATAAGCAATAAGACAGTGGACGTTACTCACATAGTAGCGAAAATACGCCAAAAGAAACATCATGAATCTGAATACAAGTAGATTAGTGAGATTGACTTTACTGCTGAATTAAATATCTAGCACTGTAATATCTTTGTACATGTTTATGTTTTTGTGACAGAGATTATTTGACCATGGCATACAATCGGTGTATAACATTCAAGAAATGATAATTATCATTTATGGTGAAATTAGAATGATTCATGGGTACAATTTATGACATTGCAAATAATTCATCAATCATGAAAGTACTTAATAAACCATTATTCGCATTATGAGCAAAGACGGATAGTGGCTAGCAGTGGTATCCAGGACTCTCGTCTCGTCCTATTTGGGACTCGTAAACTGGATGTACCTCACTAACAGACTATGTATCTGAGAAATAACTTGACAGTACAATAACAGAATGAAAAGACACCCACATTTTTGCATCTTTTTTGCTGTCACGCATGCATGTTTAAAAACTTCCCAGTACCTAGAACACATCGAGATGAATAAAATGAGTATTTGGCCTTAAATCTCAATCTATCTACACACTTTCTACAGGTTTAATAATTGGTACAGTAGTCACCTATTACTATTATTCTTATTATCATCGTCATTAATGTTATTCAAATAATAAAAAGAATATTCAAATATTTTAATTTCAAACTCATTAATTTAGATGAAACCAATGAATTTCAAAATATCACCACCGTAGCGATATTATTAGGTTGCTAAAATGATTATTTCTTACATGATCAATAAAGTTACTTACTGTTCACTATAGTTCTTCAGATCAATAATAGAAAATATTTAGTAAGCTAAGAGATTTCGTATGAAAGAGTCTGTAGAAGATGGTTTCATCGATAGATGATTGGCATCACCGACTAACATCAGTTAAAAGTTCGTTTTATTTATTTATTTAAACACATAAATATTGGTACAAAAAGGCATCAGATACATATTTGCCTCACAAATCTGATTCGATTTGTGTGAGGGCTGTGATACTGCCCAGACTAAAGCAAGTGGTTTTCTTAGGTGGCCACATCCCGAGCCTTTGACCTAAAGGTCTGATCCACAAGGCAGTTTAGGCATCGTGAGGAGATGCAGTCCCATGGTAGCCGGTGACCAACGATTTATTCATACGACATTTGTTTCCTTAGGATACTGGAAGCCCATGTTCACCATTGGTTTGGAATCAGAGTTTTCCAACTCCCCTAGGTGGACACTCCACATCCACCAACCCGGTTAAAGCGCTGGACATTCGCTTTTCGTCCTCTCAACTTCGCAAACAACAGTAGTGCCACGAGAAGGCAGTGAGTAGGACTTCTCTGGCAGAGGCTATTTATTCGCGTGTCCGTGTGAGAACATTTCGAGAGGGAGAACGTACTCTCCCCATTTTCGGCCGTACCAAGGCATTTGGCAACGCAAAACGAGGTGGAATCATCAGGATGAATACCATAGTACCATAGTTTTCACTCCTTCCTATATATATATATATATATATATATATAAATGTTTTTGGCTGAATCAGTTTTGAATAACGAAATGAAACCTATAAAACAATTAATGTTATATTATTAATTGAACTACCATGAGATAAAAAGCATTAAACACTTCATAACACTTCACTATTCATCTGTATACTTATATTATGTAATGATAAACTAGAAATGTACTCTACTACATTCTGATCATTAACGAAAAAAAATAATCAAATTGTTTTAAATAAATATAAACGAAAATATAATTCATTTATCACAATGAAAATGAGTAAACTTGAAAATTGAATCAGAATGTAGAACAAAATAGGTGGCTTAAATCAAGTATTAAGTAGTCAATCATCATTCGAAATATATATTCAAAATCATGTATATCCATTGCTTATCAGATTTATATTGAATATTATGTTAGATATTGCTAAAGGACAATCATTAAAAAGTAAACTGAATAGATTAACAGTGAAAATATTCGTAACATAGACGATTTGTTCCAATGTAAACGTCGAATAATTCATCATAATTTATAAGCAGTATTCGACAACATTTCAAAAGGTTCAAAATGAATACTTTGTTCAAATAATAACGAGAATCATAAATCATTGAGAAACTACAATTTGAAAAGTAGTAATCACGATTATTCATACGACTATAATTCAATTTCCAAGCATCACCTGAGATATCCGATAGTGAAGATGAAATACAGATATCATTTTTAAACATTTCAGATGAAAAACCCTCAGAAACAGAATCTGAACTGGGAGAAGAACGAATTAAAGAAGACGAAAAATTGAAATCCTGTTCAGATATAACTGAAGATGACGAAGAAGAAAAGGATTCACCAAGACCTGAAATATTTGAAGTGGTGGAAGTATCATTATCACTTGTGAACTGAACGAAATCACCAAGTGATTGTGATGTTTGTGATTCAGATGATGGTTGTGTGGATTGTGTTGGAGTGAGAGTAGTTTGAGTGTCGATTGTGGTGGAGATGGTCGTGGTGGTGTCTGTGTTCGTTGTTGTTTGTGATTCGTTGAGATATTGTTCAGTTGTGAGATTATCGACATCGGTTACTGGTTGTGATGTTTGTGATTCAGATGATGGTTGTGTGGATTGTGTTGGAGTGAGAGTAGTTTGAGTGTCGATTGTGGTGGAGATGGTCGTGGTGGTGTCTGTGTTCGTTGTTGTTTGTGATTCGTTGAGATATTGTTCAGTTGTGAGATTATCGACATCGGTTACTGGTTGTGATGTTTGTGATTCAGATGATGGTTGTGTGGATTGTGTTGGAGTGAGAGTAGTTTGAGTGTCGATTGTGGTGGAGATGGTCGTGGTGGTGTCTGTGTTCGTTGTTGTTTGTGATTCGTTGAGATATTGTTCAGTTGTGAGATTATCGACATCGGTTACTGGTTGTGATGTTTGTGATTCAGATGATGGTTGTGTGGATTGTGTTGGAGTGAGAGTAGTTTGAGTGTCGATTGTGGTGGAGATGGTCGTGGTGGTGTCTGTGTTCGTTGTTGTTTGTGATTCGTTGAGATATTGTTCAGTTGTGAGATTATCGACATCGGTTACTGGTTGTGATGTTTGTGATTCAGATGATGGTTGTGTGGATTGTGTTGGAGTGAGAGTAGTTTGAGTGTCGATTGTGGTGGAGATGGTCGTGGTGGTGTCTGTGTTCGTTGTTGTTTGTGATTCGTTGAGATATTGTTCAGTTGTGAGATTATCGACATCGGTTACTGGTTGTGATGTTTGTGATTCAGATGATGGTTGTGTGGATTGTGTTGGAGTGAGAGTAGTTTGAGTGTCGATTGTGGTGGAGATGGTCGTGGTGGTGTCTGTGTTCGTTGTTGTTTGTGATTCGTTGAGATATTGTTCAGTTGTGAGATTATCGACATCGGTTACTGGTTGTGATGTTTGTGATTCAGATGATGGTTGTGTGGATTGTGTTGGAGTGAGAGTAGTTTGAGTGTCGATTGTGGTGGAGATGGTCGTGGTGGTGTCTGTGTTCGTTGTTGTTTGTGATTCGTTGAGATATTGTTCAGTTGTGAGATTATCGACATCGGTTACTGGTTGTGATGTTTGTGATTCAGATGATGGTTGTGTGGATTGTGTTGGAGTGAGAGTAGTTTGAGTGTCGATTGTGGTGGAGATGGTCGTGGTGGTGTCTGTGTTCGTTGTTGTTTGTGATTCGTTGAGATATTGTTCAGTTGTGAGATTATCGACATCGGTTACTGGTTGTGATGTTTGTGATTCAGATGATGGTTGTGTGGATTGTGTTGGAGTGAGAGTAGTTTGAGTGTCGATTGTGGTGGAGATGGTCGTGGTGGTGTCTGTGTTCGTTGTTGTTTGTGATTCGTTGAGATATTGTTCAGTTGTGAGATTATCGACATCGGTTACTGGTTGTGATGTTTGTGATTCAGATGATGGTTGTGTGGATTGTGTTGGAGTGAGAGTAGTTTGAGTGTCGATTGTGGTGGAGATGGTCGTGGTGGTGTCTGTGTTCGTTGTTGTTTGTGATTCGTTGAGATATTGTTCAGTTGTGAGATTATCGACATCGGTTACTGGTTGTGATGTTTGTGATTCAGATGATGGTTGTGTGGATTGTGTTGGAGTGAGAGTAGTTTGAGTGTCGATTGTGGTGGAGATGGTCGTGGTGGTGTCTGTGTTCGTTGTTGTTTGTGATTCGTTGAGATATTGTTCAGTTGTGAGATTATCGACATCGGTTACTGGTTGTGATGTTTGTGATTCAGATGATGGTTGTGTGGATTGTGTTGGAGTGAGAGTAGTTTGAGTGTCGATTGTGGTGGAGATGGTCGTGGTGGTGTCTGTGTTCGTTGTTGTTTGTGATTCGTTGAGATATTGTTCAGTTGTGAGATTATCGACATCGGTTACTGGTTGTGATGTTTGTGATTCAGATGATGGTTGTGTGGATTGTGTTGGAGTGAGAGTAGTTTGAGTGTCGATTGTGGTGGAGATGGTCGTGGTGGTGTCTGTGTTCGTTGTTGTTTGTGATTCGTTGAGATATTGTTCAGTTGTGAGATTATCGACATCGGTTACTGGTTGTGATGTTTGTGATTCAGATGATGGTTGTGTGGATTGTGTTGGAGTGAGAGTAGTTTGAGTGTCGATTGTGGTGGAGATGGTCGTGGTGGTGTCTGTGTTCGTTGTTGTTTGTGATTCGTTGAGATATTGTTCAGTTGTGAGATTATCGACATCGGTTACTGGTTGTGATGTTTGTGATTCAGATGATGGTTGTGTGGATTGTGTTGGAGTGAGAGTAGTTTGAGTGTCGATTGTGGTGGAGATGGTCGTGGTGGTGTCTGTGTTCGTTGTTGTTTGTGATTCGTTGAGATATTGTTCAGTTGTGAGATTATCGACATCGGTTACTGGTTGTGATGTTTGTGATTCAGATGATGGTTGTGTGGATTGTGTTGGAGTGAGAGTAGTTTGAGTGTCGATTGTGGTGGAGATGGTCGTGGTGGTGTCTGTGTTCGTTGTTGTTTGTGATTCGTTGAGATATTGTTCAGTTGTGAGATTATCGACATCGGTTACTGGTTGTGATGTTTGTGATTCAGATGATGGTTGTGTGGATTGTGTTGGAGTGAGAGTAGTTTGAGTGTCGATTGTGGTGGAGATGGTCGTGGTGGTGTCTGTGTTCGTTGTTGTTTGTGATTCGTTGAGATATTGTTCAGTTGTGAGATTATCGACATCGGTTACTGGTTGTGATGTTTGTGATTCAGATGATGGTTGTGTGGATTGTGTTGGAGTGAGAGTAGTTTGAGTGTCGATTGTGGTGGAGATGGTCGTGGTGGTGTCTGTGTTCGTTGTTGTTTGTGATTCGTTGAGATATTGTTCAGTTGTGAGATTATCGACATCGGTTACTGGTTGTGATGTTTGTGATTCAGATGATGGTTGTGTGGATTGTGTTGGAGTGAGAGTAGTTTGAGTGTCGATTGTGGTGGAGATGGTCGTGGTGGTGTCTGTGTTCGTTGTTGTTTGTGATTCGTTGAGATATTGTTCAGTTGTGAGATTATCGACATCGGTTACTGGTTGTGATGTTTGTGATTCAGATGATGGTTGTGTGGATTGTGTTGGAGTGAGAGTAGTTTGAGTGTCGATTGTGGTGGAGATGGTCGTGGTGGTGTCTGTGTTCGTTGTTGTTTGTGATTCGTTGAGATATTGTTCAGTTGTGAGATTATCGACATCGGTTACTGGTTGTGATGTTTGTGATTCAGATGATGGTTGTGTGGATTGTGTTGGAGTGAGAGTAGTTTGAGTGTCGATTGTGGTGGAGATGGTCGTGGTGGTGTCTGTGTTCGTTGTTGTTTGTGATTCGTTGAGATATTGTTCAGTTGTGAGATTATCGACATCGGTTACTGGTTGTGATGTTTGTGATTCAGATGATGGTTGTGTGGATTGTGTTGGAGTGAGAGTAGTTTGAGTGTCGATTGTGGTGGAGATGGTCGTGGTGGTGTCTGTGTTCGTTGTTGTTTGTGATTCGTTGAGATATTGTTCAGTTGTGAGATTATCGACATCGGTTACTGGTTGTGATGTTTGTGATTCAGATGATGGTTGTGTGGATTGTGTTGGAGTGAGAGTAGTTTGAGTGTCGATTGTGGTGGAGATGGTCGTGGTGGTGTCTGTGTTCGTTGTTGTTTGTGATTCGTTGAGATATTGTTCAGTTGTGAGATTATCGACATCGGTTACTGGTTGTGATGTTTGTGATTCAGATGATGGTTGTGTGGATTGTGTTGGAGTGAGAGTAGTTTGAGTGTCGATTGTGGTGGAGATGGTCGTGGTGGTGTCTGTGTTCGTTGTTGTTTGTGATTCGTTGAGATATTGTTCAGTTGTGAGATTATCGACATCGGTTACTGGTTGTGATGTTTGTGATTCAGATGATGGTTGTGTGGATTGTGTTGGAGTGAGAGTAGTTTGAGTGTCGATTGTGGTGGAGATGGTCGTGGTGGTGTCTGTGTTCGTTGTTGTTTGTGATTCGTTGAGATATTGTTCAGTTGTGAGATTATCGACATCGGTTACTGGTTGTGATGTTTGTGATTCAGATGATGGTTGTGTGGATTGTGTTGGAGTGAGAGTAGTTTGAGTGTCGATTGTGGTGGAGATGGTCGTGGTGGTGTCTGTGTTCGTTGTTGTTTGTGATTCGTTGAGATATTGTTCAGTTGTGAGATTATCGACATCGGTTACTGGTTGTGATGTTTGTGATTCAGATGATGGTTGTGTGGATTGTGTTGGAGTGAGAGTAGTTTGAGTGTCGATTGTGGTGGAGATGGTCGTGGTGGTGTCTGTGTTCGTTGTTGTTTGTGATTCGTTGAGATATTGTTCAGTTGTGAGATTATCGACATCGGTTACTGGTTGTGATGTTTGTGATTCAGATGATGGTTGTGTGGATTGTGTTGGAGTGAGAGTAGTTTGAGTGTCGATTGTGGTGGAGATGGTCGTGGTGGTGTCTGTGTTCGTTGTTGTTTGTGATTCGTTGAGATATTGTTCAGTTGTGAGATTATCGACATCGGTTACTGGTTGTGATGTTTGTGATTCAGATGATGGTTGTGTGGATTGTGTTGGAGTGAGAGTAGTTTGAGTGTCGATTGTGGTGGAGATGGTCGTGGTGGTGTCTGTGTTCGTTGTTGTTTGTGATTCGTTGAGATATTGTTCAGTTGTGAGATTATCGACATCGGTTACTGGTTGTGATGTTTGTGATTCAGATGATGGTTGTGTGGATTGTGTTGGAGTGAGAGTAGTTTGAGTGTCGATTGTGGTGGAGATGGTCGTGGTGGTGTCTGTGTTCGTTGTTGTTTGTGATTCGTTGAGATATTGTTCAGTTGTGAGATTATCGACATCGGTTACTGGTTGTGATGTTTGTGATTCAGATGATGGTTGTGTGGATTGTGTTGGAGTGAGAGTAGTTTGAGTGTCGATTGTGGTGGAGATGGTCGTGGTGGTGTCTGTGTTCGTTGTTGTTTGTGATTCGTTGAGATATTGTTCAGTTGTGAGATTATCGACATCGGTTACTGGTTGTGATGTTTGTGATTCAGATGATGGTTGTGTGGATTGTGTTGGAGTGAGAGTAGTTTGAGTGTCGATTGTGGTGGAGATGGTCGTGGTGGTGTCTGTGTTCGTTGTTGTTTGTGATTCGTTGAGATATTGTTCAGTTGTGAGATTATCGACATCGGTTACTGGTTGTGATGTTTGTGATTCAGATGATGGTTGTGTGGATTGTGTTGGAGTGAGAGTAGTTTGAGTGTCGATTGTGGTGGAGATGGTCGTGGTGGTGTCTGTGTTCGTTGTTGTTTGTGATTCGTTGAGATATTGTTCAGTTGTGAGATTATCGACATCGGTTACTGGTTGTGATGTTTGTGATTCAGATGATGGTTGTGTGGATTGTGTTGGAGTGAGAGTAGTTTGAGTGTCGATTGTGGTGGAGATGGTCGTGGTGGTGTCTGTGTTCGTTGTTGTTTGTGATTCGTTGAGATATTGTTCAGTTGTGAGATTATCGACATCGGTTACTGGTTGTGATGTTTGTGATTCAGATGATGGTTGTGTGGATTGTGTTGGAGTGAGAGTAGTTTGAGTGTCGATTGTGGTGGAGATGGTCGTGGTGGTGTCTGTGTTCGTTGTTGTTTGTGATTCGTTGAGATATTGTTCAGTTGTGAGATTATCGACATCGGTTACTGGTTGTGATGTTTGTGATTCAGATGATGGTTGTGTGGATTGTGTTGGAGTGAGAGTAGTTTGAGTGTCGATTGTGGTGGAGATGGTCGTGGTGGTGTCTGTGTTCGTTGTTGTTTGTGATTCGTTGAGATATTGTTCAGTTGTGAGATTATCGACATCGGTTACTGGTTGTGATGTTTGTGATTCAGATGATGGTTGTGTGGATTGTGTTGGAGTGAGAGTAGTTTGAGTGTCGATTGTGGTGGAGATGGTCGTGGTGGTGTCTGTGTTCGTTGTTGTTTGTGATTCGTTGAGATATTGTTCAGTTGTGAGATTATCGACATCGGTTACTGGTTGTGATGTTTGTGATTCAGATGATGGTTGTGTGGATTGTGTTGGAGTGAGAGTAGTTTGAGTGTCGATTGTGGTGGAGATGGTCGTGGTGGTGTCTGTGTTCGTTGTTGTTTGTGATTCGTTGAGATATTGTTCAGTTGTGAGATTATCGACATCGGTTACTGGTTGTGATGTTTGTGATTCAGATGATGGTTGTGTGGATTGTGTTGGAGTGAGAGTAGTTTGAGTGTCGATTGTGGTGGAGATGGTCGTGGTGGTGTCTGTGTTCGTTGTTGTTTGTGATTCGTTGAGATATTGTTCAGTTGTGAGATTATCGACATCGGTTACTGGTTGTGATGTTTGTGATTCAGATGATGGTTGTGTGGATTGTGTTGGAGTGAGAGTAGTTTGAGTGTCGATTGTGGTGGAGATGGTCGTGGTGGTGTCTGTGTTCGTTGTTGTTTGTGATTCGTTGAGATATTGTTCAGTTGTGAGATTATCGACATCGGTTACTGGTTGTGATGTTTGTGATTCAGATGATGGTTGTGTGGATTGTGTTGGAGTGAGAGTAGTTTGAGTGTCGATTGTGGTGGAGATGGTCGTGGTGGTGTCTGTGTTCGTTGTTGTTTGTGATTCGTTGAGATATTGTTCAGTTGTGAGATTATCGACATCGGTTACTGGTTGTGATGTTTGTGATTCAGATGATGGTTGTGTGGATTGTGTTGGAGTGAGAGTAGTTTGAGTGTCGATTGTGGTGGAGATGGTCGTGGTGGTGTCTGTGTTCGTTGTTGTTTGTGATTCGTTGAGATATTGTTCAGTTGTGAGATTATCGACATCGGTTACTGGTTGTGATGTTTGTGATTCAGATGATGGTTGTGTGGATTGTGTTGGAGTGAGAGTAGTTTGAGTGTCGATTGTGGTGGAGATGGTCGTGGTGGTGTCTGTGTTCGTTGTTGTTTGTGATTCGTTGAGATATTGTTCAGTTGTGAGATTATCGACATCGGTTACTGGTTGTGATGTTTGTGATTCAGATGATGGTTGTGTGGATTGTGTTGGAGTGAGAGTAGTTTGAGTGTCGATTGTGGTGGAGATGGTCGTGGTGGTGTCTGTGTTCGTTGTTGTTTGTGATTCGTTGAGATATTGTTCAGTTGTGAGATTATCGACATCGGTTACTGGTTGTGATGTTTGTGATTCAGATGATGGTTGTGTGGATTGTGTTGGAGTGAGAGTAGTTTGAGTGTCGATTGTGGTGGAGATGGTCGTGGTGGTGTCTGTGTTCGTTGTTGTTTGTGATTCGTTGAGATATTGTTCAGTTGTGAGATTATCGACATCGGTTACTGGTTGTGATGTTTGTGATTCAGATGATGGTTGTGTGGATTGTGTTGGAGTGAGAGTAGTTTGAGTGTCGATTGTGGTGGAGATGGTCGTGGTGGTGTCTGTGTTCGTTGTTGTTTGTGATTCGTTGAGATATTGTTCAGTTGTGAGATTATCGACATCGGTTACTGGTTGTGATGTTTGTGATTCAGATGATGGTTGTGTGGATTGTGTTGGAGTGAGAGTAGTTTGAGTGTCGATTGTGGTGGAGATGGTCGTGGTGGTGTCTGTGTTCGTTGTTGTTTGTGATTCGTTGAGATATTGTTCAGTTGTGAGATTATCGACATCGGTTACTGGTTGTGATGTTTGTGATTCAGATGATGGTTGTGTGGATTGTGTTGGAGTGAGAGTAGTTTGAGTGTCGATTGTGGTGGAGATGGTCGTGGTGGTGTCTGTGTTCGTTGTTGTTTGTGATTCGTTGAGATATTGTTCAGTTGTGAGATTATCGACATCGGTTACTGGTTGTGATGTTTGTGATTCAGATGATGGTTGTGTGGATTGTGTTGGAGTGAGAGTAGTTTGAGTGTCGATTGTGGTGGAGATGGTCGTGGTGGTGTCTGTGTTCGTTGTTGTTTGTGATTCGTTGAGATATTGTTCAGTTGTGAGATTATCGACATCGGTTACTGGTTGTGATGTTTGTGATTCAGATGATGGTTGTGTGGATTGTGTTGGAGTGAGAGTAGTTTGAGTGTCGATTGTGGTGGAGATGGTCGTGGTGGTGTCTGTGTTCGTTGTTGTTTGTGATTCGTTGAGATATTGTTCAGTTGTGAGATTATCGACATCGGTTACTGGTTGTGATGTTTGTGATTCAGATGATGGTTGTGTGGATTGTGTTGGAGTGAGAGTAGTTTGAGTGTCGATTGTGGTGGAGATGGTCGTGGTGGTGTCTGTGTTCGTTGTTGTTTGTGATTCGTTGAGATATTGTTCAGTTGTGAGATTATCGACATCGGTTACTGGTTGTGATGTTTGTGATTCAGATGATGGTTGTGTGGATTGTGTTGGAGTGAGAGTAGTTTGAGTGTCGATTGTGGTGGAGATGGTCGTGGTGGTGTCTGTGTTCGTTGTTGTTTGTGATTCGTTGAGATATTGTTCAGTTGTGAGATTATCGACATCGGTTACTGGTTGTGATGTTTGTGATTCAGATGATGGTTGTGTGGATTGTGTTGGAGTGAGAGTAGTTTGAGTGTCGATTGTGGTGGAGATGGTCGTGGTGGTGTCTGTGTTCGTTGTTGTTTGTGATTCGTTGAGATATTGTTCAGTTGTGAGATTATCGACATCGGTTACTGGTTGTGATGTTTGTGATTCAGATGATGGTTGTGTGGATTGTGTTGGAGTGAGAGTAGTTTGAGTGTCGATTGTGGTGGAGATGGTCGTGGTGGTGTCTGTGTTCGTTGTTGTTTGTGATTCGTTGAGATATTGTTCAGTTGTGAGATTATCGACATCGGTTACTGGTTGTGATGTTTGTGATTCAGATGATGGTTGTGTGGATTGTGTTGGAGTGAGAGTAGTTTGAGTGTCGATTGTGGTGGAGATGGTCGTGGTGGTGTCTGTGTTCGTTGTTGTTTGTGATTCGTTGAGATATTGGTCTTCTGCGAGTTGATCTTCATCAGTAACTTGTTGTAATGTTGATGATTCAGATGTTTTTTGTTTGTATTTTTCGGTAGATAATGTTGTTGTATTATTGATATATGTTTTGTTTGTTTTTTCTACCTCTTGTTTCATCTCTTTTTCATTTTTTATTGATTTTTTCTCTTCTTTCAGCCGTTTTTCCTCATCATGTTTTTCCATATTCTCCATGTTTTGTTGTTGTTCAATATGAAATGTGCTTACATTTCTTTCAGTTTTCGTTTGTGAATATTGTTCTTGACTTTGTATGATTGATTTTTTGTTGTCATCTCCTTCGGTCTTTTGTCTTTGAATCGCTACTTTTTTCTCATTTATTCCACTAAAATCTATGATAATTTGTGTTTGTTGTGATTTAGTCTTCTTTTCATCTTTATTCTCAATTTTTTTTCCTTTTTCTTGGCATTCATTTTTCTTATTTGATTCTTTACCATTTAGATCACATATATGATTATTCGATGTAGTCATTGTCATAGAAGGTATCGGAATTTTGTTTGTTAATGATATATTCAATTGATTCATAATATTGATTTCTGATTGATTATTGTTATCATCAATTGGATTAGTTACATTGATATCATGAAGAATCTGTGAAATTGTATGATTCTCTTGTTCATTGTTGAATTCATTCAATTGTCCATTAATATGATTTAATTGTAATATCAAATAGAAACAGAATGTCATTAAAATCATCATCATCTTCATCAATATCATAATTTGTGTATAATTGAATTATAGTTTATCATTAGATAATCAGTAATGTTATATAGTTGGCTTTCTCACTCCTTTTTTTTCTATTTTTGAAATCCATTCTAACTTATATACTCATTTTTATTGTTGCTAATACGTTGTTTGAATCAAATAACAACAGTTCATTGAGTTAATATAAGTCATTTCTTATATGGATGATTGTGTATTAATCTTTTCATTGTACTATTTCTCACTTTATTCTTATCATTAATTCACTCATTCATTGAATGAAGATATCATGCAGAATCGATAGTCTATCATTTGATTAACTAATGTTCTTGAATGGTAATCTTTCTTTTTTTTCAAATTCCTTATTTAATAAGGTAACTCATATTAACATTACTGTTTGTTTTTTTTCTTAAATTTCGATCAAACCATAAAGGAAGAGATTAGTTGCCTTAGTTACTATTCTTTTTTTTAATTTTGAAATTCAGTTCACTTACATAATCTTTATCAGGGTTTTTCTAAGTTGATAATTTTTTTTATTTCACTTCGTGTTTCATTCAATGTGACCTCATGAAATATCATTTTATGATTATTGAATAGTTTCAAATCAGCACGTAGATCACTACACTGGATATCTATTGACACGTTGGATATATTCGTTGTAATTGGTAGATGTACTATTGTGAATATTAGTAGCTGTAGTATTGTATTATGTGCAGTAGGTAATAGCAGTAGTTCTAGTAGGAGTAACATTAATAGTATTGTAAGTCATACTTGAGGTTCAGATGATTGAATTGAAGAGAGAAGAAAACTGAAAGCAATCAAGATGATAACAGGAATGAAGCAACAAAGAAGTTCACAACAGACGATTCAAAGATATACATAGCATGTATTTGATGTGTGATTTTCACATTTTACTAAACCACTGTGTACTTATACACTAACCAATATAAATTGGTCTTCACCTGAGTGTTCGTTCACTACAGTAGTAGTAGTTTGAATAGTAGTTGTTGTTGTTTCATTTGTAGTAGTAATGAAGTAGATGAATAATGAGCATTAATTAGAAATGCACAAGGAAACACTGTCATCATTACGGTTGTGAGTCGACAATACAGAAGAAACATTATAGTGAGGACATTGATCAGTTGCTGTGATTTAATCTAACTATTTCAATCTTATTATTGAGAATCACCATCAGACTATGATGCTTGTGGCGAATTTTCATCATTATTTTATGTCGTTTGAAATATTTTTTCAGTCAGACAGTCAGTTACAACGTAGAACTTCGTACGTACGTACATCAGTTCGAGTTGCCATACCACATTAGCACAGAGATGAATTTGTCGATTCAAATCCCATATTGGTAGAAGTAGTAAGAATAATAAGTATTATGTGAAAGATAAGGGTTTGAAGATGTTATTGAAGGAGTATAATACGGTGAAATAAATCTGGAAAGAGAAAAAAGATTGGGACATGAAGAATTCAGAAGATTAGAATTTGGTAGAACACAAAGAGTGGATGCACCTTCGCCATTGCAAACGATTTTGAGCCATGTCATTCAAAGTTTCTAACCATCGATTGCTATCATCTTGCGAATCTCAACCAGGTAGTCTACACCTACCAACACGGCTCAGTCCACTTGTCAGCGACTTCATGGATTTATGCCATGTTTTGGTTTGGCCGCCCCTAGCTTTCTTCCAACCTAATCCTACACTATGAAACATTGCACGTCGGGTCAGTCGGTGGTTGGGCATACGTAACACATGTCCCAGCCATCTCAACTGGTGAAGTTTCACCACTTCATCAATCGATTTGCCATACTTACCTAGTACCCGTTTCCTAACAACTGCATTACTTACCCGGTAGTCCCAGGATATACGAGCAATGCGTCGAAGACACCTATGATCGAATACTAGTAGCCTACGAATATCCTCTACTCTTATCGGCCATATTTCACTGCCATAAAGTAGGACGAAACGAACTGCTGCACAGTAAACCTGTCCTTTTGTTGCTAGACGGATATCTCGCCTACGCCATAAATGACGCAAGTTGGCGAAAGCTAGACGAGCCTTCTGTATCCGTGCTGAGATTTCGTCACACACCAGACCACAAGGGCTGATAAGACTCCCAAGATAAGTGAAGTGGTCTACACGCTCAACTACTTCATTCCCTATCATTAGTTCAGGTGTCGATGCAACCCAATCCTGAAGTAACATTTTGCACTTCGAGGGAGAGAATCGCATTCCGAACATGCCTGCATTGTTGCTTATAGTGGTCAGAAGACTCTGCATGTTGTCAGTGTCTTCACCGAGTAAAACTATGTCGTCAGCGTATTCTAAGTCAACAAGTGGATCTCCCGGTAAAAGTTCAACTCCAGGACATTGAGATGATGAAAGCGATATCTCTAAAAGCATGTTAATGACAAAGTTAAACAAGAATGGGGAGAGTCGACAGCCCTGACGAACACCACTTGAGGTAACCACTTCTGATGACAGTTCGCCATAGGCTCTAACTCGACCAGTTGTGTTCGAGTAGAGAGCCTTTATGAGGTTAATGTACTTCTTTGGTACTCCTTTCACTGACAAACACTGCCATGGAACCTCACGACCAACGGAGTCAAATGCCGCCTTAAGGTCAAGAAATACTACTATTGTGGGACGTCTGAATTTGTGTCTATGTTCTAGGACCTGACGTAGAGTGAATATCTGATCTATACAACCACGTCCAGGTCGAAAACCAGCCTGGTTTTCTCTAGTCTGCTCTTCACGAGCTTTGGTTAGGCGACCTAGTATTATTGAAGTTAATATTTTAGACACTATATTAGTCAGACTGATTCCTCTGTGATTGTCACAGGAGGACTTTTGTCCTTTCTTATAGACTGGCACAATCAGTGATTGGGACCAGTCAGATGGAATTACTTCCAGTTCCCAGATTCTACCTAAGACCTCAGTCAATCTCGTTGCTAGTACTGGACCACCATACTTAAAAATCTAAGGGGTCAACCTGTCAAGGCCTGCGGCTCTCCCTCGCTTCAGATTTCTTATACCTTTTTCAACCTCGTAGAGAGTTGGAGGACTTACCTCAATTTGCCATTCAGGACGACTGAGGATCGTGGGTAACTGAAGTGTGGCTGAAGGCCAGTTGAACTGATCCCTAAAGTGTTCTACCCATCGATCCAATCTCCTGGATTGAGAGTGAATGACATGCACATCTTTGTCTGAGATAGTTTCGCTAATAGTTGGGTTCCTAATGCCGGTTTCTTTAATAAGTCTGAATAGCTGCCTACTGTTACCTATTGCCGCTGCCTTTTCCATCTCTCTTGCTTTCGCTACCCACCACTGTTCACGATCATTGCGTAGGCTTCTTATTAGCCTTTGCTTAAGCTGACTCCGCTCCTCGTTATGTTCAGAGCCAAGTGGGATGAGTTTTCGAGCATCTATCAGTGCGGTAGATGCTGCCGAGATCCATTGTATTTCCCTGACCTTATGGCTTACCTTACTAGCGGATATCACAGCTGTTTCCACAGCTTTACGCATGTCATTCCACGCTGCTTCGGGGTGGGCACAACTTACATGTCTGTCTAACTGTTTTTCCAGTAGTTCCTGAAATATATTTTTTGCTTGCCTATTATTAAATAGAACCCTTAGAGGCTTCCCTACAGTGTCTTTCCTACGACCAGTAAGACGCAGACAGATACGTGCTCGCACTAGAGCATGATCTGAGTCTAAACATGTGCCCCAGAATGAGCGACATTCTTCTATCGAGCCCCTCCATCGGTGGCTGATAGCGATGTGATCTAATTGGATCCAACGTTGGGATGAGTTTGGGGGTCGCCATGTCTAGAGATGTTTTTCCTTATGCCTAAAGTTAGTATTTGCAAGAAATAGGCGGTTATCTGAGCACAGCTGCAACAGACGGTCGCCATTATCCGTCCTTTTAGACACGACATCATAAGATCCACCCAGGTGTCTTTCCCTTTCACTTAGTTTACCTACTTGAGCATTAAAGTCACCAGCCACTATTACTACATCAGAACGCCTAGCTTTTCGGAGAAGGTCAGAAAGTTTCCTGCGAAACTCATCTTTTATATCGTCTGAGCTGCAGTCAGTGGGAGAGTAGGCAGATACGACGAAGAGGCAACGACGAATTTCCCTATCTTTCCGAGTCCTTACTGATCCGTTTAGTCGGACAGCACATAGACGACTGTCTACTGGGTGTAGTGCCGCGATTCGTTAACCGTTTACTTCGATAACCGTTATAATTCTAAACTTAACGGTGCGTAAAATCAGAAGACAAAGGATAGCAGCAACTACAGTTTATTGTCGAATGACTCAGGTTCGGAAGCTAACAACACCTGAGTGAATATGAACGAGCGAGTGAACAGGCAAACAAGCGAAGGAAACGAACGAGGAGCAAGCGAGCGAGCGAGAGAGTAGCAAGCAATTACATAGGCAATTTATAGTCAAATTTAATAAGGGCACAGCAAAGCAAAACAAAGGCTGATAATAATATTTGCGTGCGTACATATATGGGTAGGAGTATGAGTCATCGAATGATATTTAAGCAGTCAACATTTCGGCTAGAGTGTCATGTGCTCTAGTGTTATTGCAGTGCAAAGAATATGCAAATTGTTACTATCCAAATGACAATGTCTGTTAAGTAAGTTATAAAAAGGGCTTAACCAAAATTGGCTATAATCGAAATTGATTGTAGGATGGTTGCTATATTACTCCCCCCTGCAAACAAAGATATATGAAAAAATGTCTGTGTTTGCATAATGTACAGTAAATTGGATAGCGTAGTTACAATCATTTGAAGATATGGGCCTGTATAAAATTAGAATGAAGTTAATGTGCATTTAGTTCGTGCCCGTCCGCTAGGCTATACAAAATAGCGGTAAGATATTGAAGGAATATGGTATCGCTTCGAAAAAAAATTACAAGTATAAGCGTACGGGTGTACATAAGCTGTGCCGAATTTAATAGCGT